ATCCAGCTCTGTGTTTCTATTGATGTAATTTCCCTGCTAGAAAAATTGTGTGATTGAGGTCCATGGAAGGCAAATAAGTTTAATTTAAATCAAATACACAAAAAGAGGATGGAGTTAAAATAAATAAAATATATTCAAGCTACGTTTTGAGCATCCAAATCGCGTCCAACACTTCAAGTTAGCTGCTTGTTCTCTTTCAGGTCAGACGTTTTCAGACTGTCGGCAAGTGCCTCTGTTGTTTTCCTCTGCCGGTCTCTGTTTAATGGTGGATGAAATAAAGAAAGTGGCGGTACTTTATTTATTTTGAGCAAGCGAACGTCGTGCTCACAAGATAATTAATCCACCAGATAATTCAGAGGCGGTCTGTTCGGCGAGTTTTACTCCAGGAGCTGCGAGGCTTTCATGCTATGTTCAGACCGAGCTCTGTTACTGAACCAGCGGCTGCTGACGTCATTACGCTCTTGCGCAAAGCTGCGTTCAGGACAAGCATGGAAAATCCCCCACTCCTATGCCAATACAGTCAAAATGATGCGTTTAGGTACCAAAACATGGTAACTTTTGATTTTACGTGAATAGATACTCGGTAGTACGGACAGAATTCGGTTGATACTTATAAAAGTATCGAATATGGCACCCATCCCTAATTTTACATAAATTGGGCTAAATTAGCATGGTAGTAGCTGAGCATTGTCCCCAACACATGCTTTGAGTGCAACACCTTGTGCAAAAGRTTTGTTTAAAATATTAGCTTTATGTTTTGTAGTCAACCCTGTTTTTCTGTTTACAGAATATCTCATGGGAGTAACTTGGTCGAATTGACCAGGAAACACCTATATTTTTTAAATATTAGTCATAATTTGAGACAGGAAGGTGATTTTTGCTATGATATTTGAAGTCAATAAATTATGTTTATATGTTCACAATCATTTTTATTTGAGTCATTTTGTTTCAAACTGTACATAGACAGTCAATGAATCATATTATTTTACTATTATCATTAATTCCTCTTGTAAGTTGCCCAACAAGACAAGGCTACCCGGCCAATCACGATTAGGACAAACTCCACCCATACACCAACACAGCCAATCATGGTTAGGGCAACGCCGCCTACACCAAGACTTCCACCAATCATGCTTAGGGCAAACTCCGCCCACAGAACCATATATACTGCAGACACCCCTACTTGGTTGTCGCCTGGAGTTATTCACAACACGTACTCCAAATACTAACACAGACTAAGATCAAGGTGGCAGGTGACTGGCATTCCATCAAGGAATACCAAAGTTTTAATTTATTTTGTAATTTGAAGTACTACCTCTCGGCTGCAAATCCTCAGCTCCTCCTCCATGTTTTATACGGATGCTAAAAAGACAAGCCGGTGTAAGAGTTATTAAGCAGCACAGATGGAAAGGCTGTCTTTGGTTCAGTTTCTTTTTGAGTCTTGTGGCAGTGAGAACTCATTAGGGAGTAATGTGAGGACTCGACTATATTGAGATGGCTCTTTAATATGCTGTTGAAGCTCTGCTTTGTAGTTTTACCACATGCAGTCTGAGTGATGAGCCTGAGGTTTAAAGTATATACTGGGGGCTCTGTGTGCTACAATTCACAGACCGGCTTACTCTTTCAGAATGCAGTACTGGAGGTGCTCAGCATGTTGAGTGTTTGCCAGGATTTCCTATAGGTCTCCCATCCCCAGCTTCTGGTACCATCAGTCTAATCCCAGTTCTCTGTCGGGTTTTGGCCTCACAGGGCAGATCTGCGTTTCTTCAGTATCTTAATTTCCATACATCAGAAGATGATCTATCGTGGCGCTCTGTCTGTAGCAGAGCTGTTTGCGCATTATCGTGCGCTCCTCTCTGTCTCATTTATAGCGCAGCAGGTTGACAGAGTAATAAAAGGATGTCAATGGGGGATTTGACCTCTACAAATACTCCAATTATTATTCCTCCAAAACACCCTATATCTGTCTGCAACCCCTTTGGACCACAGAGGRATTCAGGTCCCAGTGCCTATAAAAATCACTTACGCTTTAATGCACAGAAAGAGAAAGCAACAAAAGAGTAGCTGAGGAGAACAAGAAACCCACAGAAACACTCTGTTTAGTTCTCCCTCACATCGAGTGTGTCACTCAGCAACTGAGTGTTTATATCACAATTCTGCAGCTGTCTAAAGTAGACATATGTTTGTATTTAAACATCAACGTCATCCGTTTTGTGTTCAGTAAAATATTCCATCTGCTGCACACAAACACGCGCTCTTACAGGTAGATGGTCTCCTGAAGCATATGTCTTTGTTTTTGCCACTTCTTGTTTCAGCTGTTGTTCATAATGCCCCTCTGTTTGGTGTTTGCCTCATCTCAAAAGCCTGCTAAGGCAGAGATCGCTCTGCTTTGCTTTTTTGTCTTGCCCTCACGTCCTCTTTTCTCCGTCAGAGCATCATTTCCCCAAGCTTTAATCATTTCTATTAACACACTGCCTGTCTGGCCTCCTTCTGTTCTTCATGCTACCCACACCTTAGTCAGTCACATTTGGTTGCCAGGAAATGCAAAAGAAAAACTGGGGAAAGATGAAAAGTACAGAATTAAAAGAAAACTTAGTTTACCAAAAAAATGGGTATTTAAATTTAAAATGTCTAAATTATATATACATATCCTATTTAATCAAAGATCAATACATGTCTTTCTTCCCACTAATCCATGTATTTCTATGCGATATAACCATATAAAAGATAGTCTAAAGCTGTAGAAGAAAGATTTAGCTCAAAGCCAAGGTTGGTATTTTACTGTTATTTTCAAAGTAACGATTCACTCTGGCAGTGCAGTGTTTTCAGATTAAAATGTCATCATAAAAATGAATAATCATTTAATTGTTTTAGCCAGGTTTGCTGTCCTCACGTCAGCCAGTGCAGCGCGTTTAATCACATCGGGACGTTTCATTAATAACCTTTATTTAACCAATGAACCTTGAGAAATAAATTGTCKCTTTTACAGGAGAGACCTTGTCACCAAACCAGCATTGAGGTGTTCCATCAGAGCAGCAGAGGAACGAATAATTCACAAAACCGACCCTGTGAACCCAAAAACAATATCTGATTTTCTGTACCGCTCTGCCTCTGCAACACGCTTAACCTTTAATAGACTGAATTTTCTCTGGAACACAAATCAAGTTTCTCTGAAAATGAATCATCTTAGAATACCTGTCTGTAGAAAGATTAGAATAAAAAATAAGTCTGTACGTTCAGTTAGATTATAACTTGTTTTTTTTAATTGTCACATTGGTATTTGAAACTTTTGGGAAACTAGCTTAGATTAACTTGGTTAGTCGGCCAAAGACAACCTTGTACTAGTTTGAATACTCGGTTGCAATAAATCAAAATGAGTTTTGTCATTTGTTCTGTGTAAACTCTGAGTCATGAGTGATGAAGATGAAGAGCATCATCTGCCTTTTTTTCCATCAACCATTTGAATACATTTCTGTAAATTCACATTCTCTCATTTCTCAGCAAAGGAAAAAAAGATACAGACATGATGCGCAACAGTATTTTAAATTGTAGTGAGAAATAGTTTGACTTCATTTACTGCTGATTTTTTAAAATACTTTTAAGTGTACGAATCCAGATTTTCATCTGTAAATGGAGTTCAGGCCCTAAAGTCAAAGAGAAGCTCAACAACACTGAAGTTTTCACTTTTTTTCTGCTCATAAATCCTGTATTAGGTTCAAGGGAAATGTGAAACTTCTTAAAATTAAGCAGCTTATGCCGTTTTGTCAAGCAGGGTCTAATCAGAGTAATTCAAACCATTCACTATATTCACTCTTCAGCTTAACGTGTCAACCATGACCAACTGAACAGAAAGTTGGGCTCAGTGTTTCCCTGCTGATCCACGCACCTGTTGAGAAGAGAGCAGTCAGAGGATGAAAATATAATCATCTGCTTTCACCACAGCATGTTTGGCTGAGAGGCCACTCTGGTTTTAAATTAATTGTTCACAACACACACAAGCATAAAGCAAACAGAAAAATAAAAATCTAAACACACACTCACTTAATGTTTGATTTTTCTCTGGTGTTTATTCTCTTGGTGCTTGAGTCACTGAGTGAATCCATGTTTGTGTCTGAGGTTGTTTCTCGTTTATTTTCTTTCTTTTTTTTCTGTTTGTTGTTTTTCCACAGAATCTTTGAGAGATTCAGAAATGATAATGCATTTGACTGTACCTGCAAATGTGCTATCTTGTCTCTGCTTGCATGTCGTCMTCTTTTTTAATGCTGTGTGTTTCTGTGTGAATGTGTGTGCGTGCCTCAGTCTCTGCAGAGAACCTGGAAAAGAGCCTCAGGCAGATGGAGAGGCAGCTGCTGCAGCTCGAGAAGGACCTGGAGACTTTCTCCTCCCCCGATGACCCCAGCGACATGTTTTTCACCAAAATGGTCATATCCTTTTCACATTTATGCATTTGCTCACTGCTCCGGCGCGGTATATGGTGAGTTTACTGTAAGTGAACGAAGATTTATTGGACACGTTTTAGGTTCCACCACCTTCAAACTTGATATTTGCTCCTTTTATTGAATTAGGCCGTTAAGACTGACCTTAGTCTACATTTAAAGCAGTGCGCTAACATGTTGTGGAAACTGTGAAGTATTCTTCTAGTGTTATCCTTTGTTCTATTATGTTCTGTTGCCAAAAAAAACTATAGTTCAGACATGATTCTAAAAACATTAACCATGTGTTGTGCAACATATTGAATCAGTAATCGGTGAAAGAGATAAAACACTTTGCAAGTTAGGAGTTTTATAAATATTGTAATATGAAGCTGTCAAACCGCTGTGGAGCCCTGTTTGTTCACATCCACCGAGAAAACAGTGAAGCTTTCAGTAAAAACTTTACACTTAAAAATCCTCCAAAATGGCAGACTGTTTTAATGTTTGTTCCATTTATTGATGGAAAACAGACAAACCAACACTTTTTCTGAAAACTTTCTGTGCTTTGAGTTTACTGTCTGTGTTATATGGAGGATTATACAATGAGTGTTGTTTGGGTTTGATCCTTTGGTGTTATCTAACACTAACAACTGAACATTATAAAGACATCAATAAGTTTTAAACTCACCAGTAAAACAGCTGATCAGGACTGACGTTAGTAGCACACAGAGTGTGTGAAAGTACCATCCGATTTAAATTTCATGATGAATAACTTTACTGATCTGTGGATGTATTGATATGCTTCTTTTTTACTGTGTAAAAAAAAAGGCAGAACTGCATAAAAAAGCTGATGTAAAGCTTCTGTATACTGCTGGAAATTCCCCCTGCCGTAAAAACAGATGTTTGTGTTTAATGTCCAAATTCAGATTTTTTTTTTTGCCATAAGCAAGTTCTGTACATGAAACTCCACAGTGTAATTAAAATGTCTTTTTAGGTGGTCTCAAGCCATTTTCACTAGTAATCTTTTCAGTAACTGATAGATATGCAGTCTTATTAGCAGCTGATTGTTGTGGTTTGACCAAGTGTTCGGAAATTTGGGTAATTTTGTTTGACCGTTGATGTCGACACTTTACCCGATATGCTTCTCCAAAGTTGTGGAAACCAGAATACGGTAGATTCAGGGAAAAGACATCAGACCCCATCCCTACAAATAAAAGTTTGCAGTATTTTGCTAAACAAGACAAACAGAAGTGTTAAAGTGTTTAAACGTAGAGGATGAGAATATAACTCTCCCTCAGCCTTGGCTGCTCTTGCTTTTCATTTGCCTGTCGATGATGTGCACATCACATGTAATAAGTGAACCCTATCCTATAGTCAGCTTATTGTACCAGCCTCCCTCTCATCTCTTTTTTTTCCAAGAGTTCTTAAGACTGAGGGCATTTTCAAAATGAAAGCAAGGTTTATAGCAGATATAGCGCTTGCTCCTCTTTTCCTCTGGCAGCGACAGTCAGCAGGGTTTATCCCTGAAGAAGAATTTTACTCACTGAATTGCCATTTAATTATAACAAAGCAAAAGCATTAAAGCGCGGCCACAGCAATGCGCAATTTCACTGCCCATTTGGGGTATACGTATATAGGTCTGTTGCTGAGAGCTGTGAGCATTTGACAGCAGAGTAAATTATTCAGTGTCTTCTGAGTTTGTTGAACAGGATCAGGTTGACAGGCATATCTCAGGCCAGGTGTGTTCAATAATACACTCTGTTCCTTGCCCTCCTTCATGTAGTTTTGATCAGTAGCCTAGGGGCTGGGGCACTGATGACTTGTGCTGTGCTAGTTTGCAGAGAACTTCTGAGCAACACATAAAATGAATTTAGTGTCTGTCACTGCTGTGCACAACATTTGGTTCCTTGAATAAACTGTCCAAAGATTAAAAACTTATTCCAATTTAAAATGTGTAAAGTACATTTTAACATAAATAAAGTGTATATTAAAACATAAAGTAGGTATACATAATTTGTGTCACCTGGTGTCATGGATGGTAGATTTCCTCCACTGGTTTCTGCTTCTGTTCAGTTTTTGGGCCTTTAATCCCTCATAAAAAACACTGATGTTAATAATGATTTATTAGCTACTCTTGCTAAAAATACAACTGTAATGTAATACCACATTTATTATTGCCCTCATTAATAGTGCCTTTCTGCTTTACATTACAGAAACGTGTTGGTTATTAATTGTGTGGCTTTTTTAAAATTATCTGTCAGGTTTATTTTAACATTTGACTTTATTAATTCAGTTCAAATATGTGGACATGAAGGACAAGTTTTTAGATGTATAGATGTCAATTTTATTGTTAATCTTTGCATGTTCATTGAAGTTATGCAGTAAATAAAGGTTTTACTGTATTTGAGAGACTGTCCTCTGCAACTCAAACCCAAACATGGAATCTGTGATTATATCTGCCATGCTAGAGGTCAAAGTTTAGATTAGAGGTGGCTCTATATGACATCACTTTTTGTCAAAATGTTGTATTTCAGCTGTCCACCCAAGAATGCAACAGTGAGGTTTCAAAATACTTTTATTTTAGACCACAATTTCTAAAAACACATTTTTTAGGGCTTTTTAGAAGAGTTTCCATGTAGATACGATGCTGAAATATATATATATA